ACATGTATATGTATGTGGAAATGCAGATGTGTACGTATATGTATAAGCACACGCAAGTGCATATGCAAATTCCTTTTTGTAGATATACAAGTAGATGTGGATGTATGTGTACAGGTATACTGGTATGTATTTGTATATATATACGTTGTGTGTACATGTTTATGCACATGTGCATGTGTATGTGTACGTACGCGTAAATGTATATATGTGTATGCATATGCATGTTGATGTGCAGGTGTAAAAGCGTATGTATGTGTGCACTTGTATGTATGCGTATATGCAAACATTCATATGTATTTATGTTTTCGAATGTATATGGAATTGGCATGCATCGGTACATGTGTATATGGCATTGTATGTGTATATGTATGTACATATGCAGTTGTATGCGTACGTATATGGAAATGTGCATGTAAAATGCAGATGCCCACGTATATGTATATATAAGTGTATGTGTATGAGACATGTATATGTGTATGTATACTTGTATGTATATATGTGTGTGTGCGTTGACATGCATACGTATATGTGTATACGTATGTAGATGTGAAAATACATACGCATGCCATGTAAATGCAAAGTTTTTCCAGCAGACGGAGCAAAGGATGAGATCACCCCGCAGGGCGCGGAGGGAGACGATGCGAGACCGGAATGCACTCCACACAAGCTAACAGAACAATGATAAAAAGTTGCATGCTCGAAGTGATCCACAGGAGCTTCAACTACATTGCCGAGTGTTTCTGGGACCAGTTGCGGGCGGACAAATCCTGCCCCCCCTACGGACAACAGGAACACAAATACAGTGACACACAATACACATCACCCATCATGTGCATCAGGGGGCGGAAACTCGGGCGCTTGCTTGGCGCGGGCACGGCCGCGAACCACCACGTAAATTTGCACGGCAAATGGACGAAATACCAGAGATCACATTCGCTCCCGCACGCCACGCAACTGAGACCTGTACACCCAGAGTGCAGTGCCCCCAGCGTTCTGATGCCGAAGGTAAGCATGAATTGCGCAACAGCTATACACATGGAGTGAAACGACCTTGTGAGAGGGGCTGGAAGGGGAACGAAGTAAGAAATGGCGGATCGAACACTTTGGCAAGTCAAAGTGCAAATAGCGACGGCCTCCTTCCAAGAAACAGGACAAAGCCAATACTGCTCGATCGAGTCGGGCCCTGACGTCTTGCAGCAAACACATGTCGGTTCCTTGTGAAAGCGTCGCGCGGTTGTCATGCCATCCGAACGAATATGAATACAAGCAGAGAGGACACACGGAGGAACCCGGCGCCGCAATACGCACATGTTGCTTGCAGAGCACCCCGCGCAGACGCGCAGTTTCGACAGTCCTAAAATGTGGAACGACCTTTTTTTTCAACCATGCCTGGATGGTCTGAACAGGGCAAACCGGAAACACGCGGCCGCGCAACTGCTTGTAAATAGCTGCTTGGTCAGCCCTAGCCTTACCGCGAATCGTAATCAATGACACTCCCTCTGTACTGAATCGGGCGCGCGCGCGATCCAAACACGGACGGCCAAACGATCAAGCCACGATTGACACCTCCACTGCAGCGGAGCATGGTCACTCAAAGCACCGCGTCGCAATAGGCGAAGCTGGCGCGCCAACTGGGGCATGTTGTAGACAAGGTCCTACCCGCAGATGCTAGATGCAAGGCCGTCATAGAAACAAGCGGCACTGGTATTCCGAGCCTGTCGAGATTGAACCCGTACTTCGGGGGCAGCTAGTTCCCTGGCCCAGCGATGAATTTGCGAAACATCGAGGTCTTCAGGAGGTCTTCAGGAGGTCAGCGGTCGGCTCGACCAGCTGCAAGACGAACCCCAGCACGCCGATGGCAATGGAGTTGCACAACAACGCAGTGGCCGGCAGACCAAAGGAAAGATCCTTCATGTACTGGATCATGCCCAAATACTTGCGCATAAGCGCCAAGAGAGATAGCGAGCCCGCTCCTGAACCAAGGAAGAAAACGAAGTATTTGCCAGAAGAGTGACACAAGAAATCGCCCCGCCCCAGAAAGGAATACCTTATTTGAGAAGCCGCGCGAAGCGTTCCAAAGAAATTGGCCACAGAGGAAGGATCACACACGTCCGAGGCTTGCTCTTGAGCTTCGAAATACTTGCGGACTCGTCGACGAAGAATGCTGCGACTTGCCCGTCAATCCATATCCTCCCCAGTATGATGGCGATGTCGCCGGCAAAAGCTCGCACCAGGCAGCGGTCCCCCAAGTTATGAACCAGTGTTCGAAAGAAATGCGTCAATTGCTATAACAAACAGCGTAGGCCTGAGGGGACAACCTTGCTGCACTCTAGAAGTAATGGTGAAAACTTCAGTTGTCATCCCGCCAAATCGACAAACATGCGCGCTTCCGCGATATAGCTGCTGCACGGCCGTGATGATGGGCACTGGAACTCCGATCGCACCCGAAGCCATCCAGAGAAATCCTAAAAACAAGCTCGGAAAGGCGGCGCCGAAGTCGTTCGGCAAACAAGCTGGGCATGGACTGCTGGGCCATGCTGCCGGCTGGCCGGGCTCCTGCGAATCTCTAACTAACGCTGCGGTGGCCATAATATGGGTCTCCACCTCGATGACGTTGTCGAGCATTTGCCGGCCTTTGATACATGCCCGCTGCGGATCAGAGGACCAATTAGCTACCGCGGGCTCCAGAATCCGGTTGATTGAAGCAGCAAGCATCTTGACATCGAAGCTGCCCAGGGACAGCGGGCGCGCGTCGGGCACCGATTGGAAGCGAGCGGGGCCCGAGGCTAGATCGTGACCTTCTGGCAAGCAGGGCAAGCCACGCATGATTGACATCGCGAGGTAGTGGCGCGCCGGCTAACCATTCAAGCAAGGCAGCCGACAAAACACGTTGGCACCATTCGGGCGCACGCCGCCAAGCGCCGTAGGGCACGCCATCGGGCCCAAGTGCAGAGTCGGTGCAGCCGTGATATGTGGTGTGCATGTTGAGGGAAACCGGCAACAGCTCCTAGAAGAGTTGTATTCGGTGATTCGTACCTATTCTGAGGCCACGCTCATTCTTCTTGGGGGCTTCAATTCAGTCGCCTGAGAGTCTGACCGGTTTGATGCCACTGCGCGTGCCCTCACCGGCACCGTCGTGCGGGACACCTTCGACACGCTGCCATGTCTTGACTTGCTCACTGAGATCATGCAGGACGGTTTCACCAGGAAAGGGGCTGACGCTACAGGACATCTTCAGTACAGCCGGATCGACCGCACATTTACATCCCCACCGAGCTCCCTCCGAAGCAACCTTGACGTTCGCGCTGCCTCTCCTGGACTTGCCGCGCGCCCCTGCTTCGACCCGAGCGATCGCGCCCCCGTCTTCTTCACTCGGCGACAGCGTGGCAGCGCAAGTCGATCCCCGACTGCTCCAGGCTGGGTACCTCGGCACCCGCTGTGGGGCATCGTGCTCGATGAGCTCCGCCTTGCTCGGACTAGCGACAGATGCGCCGATGAGATCGAGATGAAGCGCCTCCTCGAGGTCAAACGCAGAATTGAACACCATGGCGCCCGCACCTCCGAGGCGAAGCTTTGGTGGTGTCTGAAATTTCTTCGCTCTCTGCGCAGCGGTTGTATTCAGCAGACCCTCTCTGCAGCCAGCGTCTGCTCCGACGTCCAGGACATTTTTGGCAACTGCTGCCCCTTGAGCTGGACTCATTCAGTGCTCTTCTAAAAGGAGTCCTTCATCCAGCGCCTCCGCCAGGCAACGGCAGGAGCTGGAGGAGGCCGCCGACCTCCCGGAGTTCCACAAGAGCCGGAAGCGATCTGGACTCATAGCGTGGGCTGCCCAGTTTTCACCAAGGCGCTGGCGTGCAGGCATCCGGGGCCTCATCGACGGTCAACGTTTCACGATCACCGACACCACGGTCGCTCATGCTGCCGTTGCTGACCATTGGAGTCCAGTTTTCACTGTGCAGCCTGTCGATGAGCAGGCAGGCAAAATCTTCCTGGACAAATACGCTGTTCAGCTGCCGCACCTTCACTGGGATATTTCGTTCGATGACTTCTCTAAGCTGCTCTCTGGCTGCATGACATAGACATGTGTACGCAACGGTATATTACACGTATGTGCCTACGTGTATGTGTATGATCACACATGTCTATATGTGTATAAGTGTATGTATATAGTAATGCGTGTGTACATGTATATGTTTGTGGGTATGCTTATTTATGTGTA